CCATGTCTTCCGCAACTCCAGCCTCTAGCAGAAGCTAGCACTTTCTTCCCTGAGCACAGCATCAGAGTCAGGGATGCTGAGATGCCACTGTGCAGCGTGGGGGACATGGCCTATCTCTTCATGCCATGGCTGATGAAGCTATCTACCAACCACCTGGACCCAAGCAAGGACCACTTCAATGGCTACCTGTGCAGGGCCTACATGCAGGTGGAGCGCACCTTTGGGCATTCGAAGGTGCGGTTCAGGTGCCTCCTGACCCAGCTGGAAGTGGGGAAGCACAACATGTCCCAGGGGGTGTCAGCATGTGTGATCCACAACATTATGGAGAGGAAGGGGGCAGAGGCTGTCCAGGAGGGACAGGCCTTCAAGCAACCGTGCACATCTGCCAGGCCCATCAGTTGGAGGTGCGCATCTGGGAGGCCCTGAGGGAGAGTTTCTCTCAAGGACCCCAGTAACTCTCTCCAGGTCCTCCCCACTAGGGGCCTGTACTTTGCTTTTCTCTGCCTTTCCTCCAAAAACCCCTCCTCTCTTCTTTTCTGCAGACAATAAAAATACATTTGCTTATTTATTTGGGATAGAAGTAACTGGGGAGGAGGACGCTGAGAACCTGGAAATGGGGAGAAGCAGGGGGCTGAGAACCTGGGAGGGGGAATGGGGCTGAAAACATGGAAATGGGGAAGGAGGCTGAGAACCTTGGAGGGGGGAGGAGAGGGCTAGGCTTAGGTGCTTCTTCTGCGGGGTCCTCAGTGACCTCAGGGAGGTCCTGGGAGGATAGAGAGAGAGGGGGTGGTTGGAGTGGGGTTGGGCAAGGGAGGGGGGAGCGAGGACTGGAACAGGGACTGAGAGTGGTGCTGAGTAGGTCATGAGCTCTCGGACGGTTGCACACATGTTGCAGCCCTACTGCAGCAGCTCAGTCCACATCTGGGCCTGCCACTGGGCATCATCCCGGACCTTCTGGGCCAGCATCTGCTGCATGTCTTGGAGGATGGAGACATGCTCCCTGGACCCTCCAACATCTGCAGCTCCCCCAGGGTCAGGTGACTGGCTCAGCTGGTGTCACTCACCTCACAGTCACGGCCGGTGTGGCTGGGGAGAATAAAGAGAGGTGATCAGTCATCCCTGGAGACACTGTCCCTTAGGCCTTGCCCTCACCAGTGAGCTGAGAGCAACAGTTCCTGGGTCAGAGGATGATGTCGTCCCAGGAGCAAGGCCCTGTGTGGCCTGGACAGCGGGCCCTGCCTTAAAGGGATCCAGAGGTCCCCAGGGGACCATGCTTCCCCTTCCTCGTCCCAAGGGAGCATGTTCCCATGTCCCATGGACAAGCAGGCAAGAGAAGTGTCTGGCCACACTGGAATCCATTGGCTGGGAAAGGGGCCTTGAGCAGCCTGGGCTTCCATCAGGGCTGCACACACACCTGTATCTGGCAGCGTTGTGCCTGGAAGCAGGTGCTGCCTCAAGTGAGCAGGCATGCCTGTGTGACACTCCAGAGTGTATCCTTGTCCCCAGCCTTCTTCCAGAAGTGGCTGGTGGGAGGGTGCCCCCTGGAGTCAGAAGTGTCTCTGGGCTCCCCAGAGCCTATGAGTAGGAGCCCACGGGTGCTCCGGGGTTGCCTCTTGGGGCTGTTGGTACAGACTGGTGCTGCACGTGCACAGACTGCGGCATGATGGCCAGTCTGAGAAGGCCAAGCGATGCTCGCACTACAGCCCCTCACTGCCCGCCACCCCTGCCCTGCATGTGTGAAAAACTAAGACCACGCACCTGGTGATCCCTTCCCAGCCAGGATTCGGGGTACAGGCTCCAAGGTGATGGTGGTCACCATGCTGGCTGTGTCCTCCTCCTCCTTCTCCTCATGGGTTGGGACTCCCAGGTGGGTGACAATAAGCATTTCCAGCCCCAAGTCCACCACCAGTGGTGGGGAAGGGGCTGCACCGCCTCCCAGGCTGTGGTGCAGATCCTCAAAATAGGGGCAGCATGAGCTGTGGTCCCTCACCCTGGCATAGGCCTGCCAGAGCTCCTTCACTTTACTCTGGACCTGCTCCAGAGTCCTGGTGTGGCCCTTTGTAGCCAGGCTCTTGGCCATCTGGCCATAGATGTCAGCATTGTGCCATCTGGAGCAGAGATCCTGGAGGTTCTCCTGGTCACCCCACACCTCCAGGAGGGGGCCAGGAACTCCACCCCAGACCAAGATGATACATGCCTTTTGTGGCCCCTGGCAGCCCTGTGCGTGCTCCTTAGGACGGGCAGAGGGTTCTTCGGGGCCTTGTGGCTTGAACATAGTGCTCAGATGTGTGGCACTGGCAGCTGTGCTAGCACTGGAAGCTGTGAGGGCCTGCTTCCTGCCACAAGCTCTGTTCCCTGTGTCTACAGCTTTAAGAGCTGCTGGGCAACAGGAATTATAGAGTTGCGATGAGTGTGGACCGACTGGCCAGCACAGCACTTGTGGTATGTCCTGGAGGACCTTTATTTTTTTTTTTGGACAAAGCTCCCAATTCTGCATCTACACGCCCTTTTCCGAAAAAGCTTTTTTGGAAAAGGGCTTATTTCTTATGGAATGATGTTTGCCACCATTGGAAAAAAGCCATCCATTATTTCGACTTTGTTTTTGCCACCATTGGAAAAAGCCATCCATTATTTCGACTTTGTCGAAATAACTGAATTGTAACGTGGACACTAGTATTGTTTTTCTGGAATAACAGCTGTTACTCCGGAAAAAACACTGCCGTGTAGACACACCCTAACTGCCAACTTCAGCTCTGGTGTATGTTGGCCAACTTACTGGCATTGCAGCAACGTGGGAGTGTTGGTTGGAGGGAATGTGTTGTTCTATGCATTTTGGGCACTCTTTTTACTATTTAGAGACACCAGCAGCAGAGAAAAATCTGTTGTGATATTACAGTAGAATTGCTTCAAAATTCAATTGCTTCCTAAAAATCCAGAATAGAAATTACATTAAATCATAACTCAAAAATTATTATGAACAAAGTGAAACCCAGGATGTCAGAGGATAGGAGAGTTTTAACTACACGTATTCTACCTGTGGCTTGGTCTACACTACAGAGTTAGATCAACATAAGGCAGCATACAACAACCTAGTTAGGTCTGTGTCTACACTACAGCTTTGTCCCACTGATGAAATGCCCTACTACACCAACACAATAACTCCAGATCCACAAGAGATTTAGAACTTATGTTGGTATAATTAGGGCAACGAGTTTGTGTAGACACTGCATTCCTTACAACAGCTATTAGTTCCCCTGTCAATTTGCAATGGAGCTGTGAAATTTACAAGAAAGCGAGGCAGCTAGCTCTGCTGTCCCCACTACTCTGAGAGCTGGGCAGTTGGACCCCACTTACAGCTGGGATGTGGAACCTCCCGTTACTGGAAGCAAATAGGGAGGCAAGAAGCTCCAGGTGGCTACCCACCTGCCTGCTCCTAGCCAAGAACCTGGGCTGTCTTGCCATTTCACAGCTCCTAACAGACAAGGTCACTTGGCTCCTGCAGGGAATTAGTGGGGAAGAGAAGAGAGCAAAGAATTCAAAGCAGCTGAACTCCACTCCCCAATGGCAAGAAACCCCAGTTACCTTCCTCTATACTCCCAGCATGGAACAGGGAGAGAAAAAGCCCAGGTGGTTATCCCTATGCCCAGCAGGGAATGGGAAGTCAGAAAGAAGGAAAACCTACTGGGAATCCAGGACCCTTTGGGGCAGCTGGGCTTCCAGCAGTGATCTGCCAGTGAAGCTGAAAGACTGGGCTTTCAGGTCCCTACACCGCACCTTGTAGGTCAGTGCAAAACTCCAGCTGAGGTCACACAACTCTGACCCGAGGAGCATAGTGTGGACATGTGCCACCGCAGTAATTATTGCAGTGGCTATAAATCAAATATAGGCAATCTTGAATTTTTATTGTAAATGTAGCCAATATCACTCTCTCACAGAGTGTCTTAAGTACTCCCAACACAGAGAGAAGTTACAGGCTGGGACGTTAAAATAACCAAAAACCCACCAACCAAAGAAAAACACCCACCTTATTTTGAATTCTAGTATTTCTTTTTCAGAAATTGAAAAACTAAAGATAAGCCATTGTTTAAGTTATTCTCTTTCAGAGGAAAATATAATGCTGACTTTGAAACATTTCTAACAGGGAAACTCATCATAGTAATTGAGTTATTTATGATTATGACCAAAAAACTAACTCAAATGAAAAATTTCTAGCCTCAAGAAAGTTAAATCTCCTTTGGAATATAATGCTCTTCACAACAGTAAGAAATCTAGCTCAATACATGATTATTCTTTAATGCTTCATTTTGAGTAGATCTTAAAGAACTAACTGATCTGAAAATGAAATTCTGAGATTAGATTCTTAAAGTACTCTTTATTAATATCATTAAAAGTTGTAGAAACAACTTTGTGTAATATAAAGGCACAGGGAGACATTTTGATAAAATATTCCAATTAAACAGTAACTTACAGTACAAAAAAGACAATTTTAATGCACATAGAAACCCCAAATGTCTCATTCAAAAATATTTCACCAAAAGTTCATCAATATTAATGGGCAATGACTAAAAATATAAATTGTCATTGTACAATAAATATCTGATAGGTGCAAATTGGACAAAATTTATTGCTTTCCACGTAAGTGTTTTCCCTGTAGTGTTTTTTTTTTGTAATTTGACATTCCTTTTCAAATCAACTTTCTCTATATATTTCAGTGGAAACTATAACCCTTAGATCAAATCTAACCAGGGACATTTGGAAGTTACAAGACTACTCCCAAGTATTATCAGAGCTGGCAGTGTTTTCTATTATCCTTTAGTAATTACACACAACTCACTCATCAGGTAATGTGCTGGGTATGTAAAAATCAACATCAGTGATACAACAAGGCTTGAGTGGCCTACTACTAGTTAATCTGAGTTTTTCGATGATTTTCTTCAAATAAACGTATTTTGAAAAAAAAAATACATAAAGCCTATTTAAAGCAGCACAGCTGACAAAACAGACTTACAATAGCAAAAACAAAAACCAAAAAGCCAGAGACAGCAAAAAGAAAGGGAAAAAGGAAAAGGGGAAGTGAAGCAAGTGTCATATTAGTTTCTGAAAACAAAATTAAGACAAGTGAGCTGCAGTAAAGTATGATTACATAGGTAAAACAGATTCAAAGTGAAAATCTAGAGCTGTGCACAACAGTCATTAACATATTCATCTAACAAATCTGATAAAGGTTTGCATCTTTATATAGCAGTACTTCCCCATACTGCACCCTCCTGCTTTGAGAAAAATGACCCAATCAGTGTTGAATTATACATTTACTTTTTTTCTTCACCCAGCTCCTACAGGAATTTTGGTATAGCAGCAATTTCCATCTGTCTTTGACACAGCAGTTGATACTCATGCTGACTGTCATAAGTGGTGGTGCATACCCACTTCATTCAAAAATGTTTAATACTGTACCATGGTTTTTGATGTACAACTGTTACTTCTTTTCCTTTGCTACTGCTGCAAGCAATTAAAAAATTACACATATCCTAGAAGTATTTACTTAGAAATAGAATTTTATGACACTTCAGGTAAATGAAGCACTACAGTAGCTATTGTATAAGAGGGGAAAAAGGCTTCCAAGAAAATAAGTCATTTTGATAGTGACTCATGTTATGCAAATTCTTATTTACGGATGCAATCTCAGGTTTACAGTAATCATTAAAGGGACCATTTTTACTGCAATTCAAAATAGTGAAACTTATTTCAAAGCAAAGTCTCTAGTGTGAATACGGCATAATCAGCTTAACTACTAACCCAATGGATAGACATTCAGTAAACTTTATTACATTGTGAATTCAGCAGAATTGTGAATGACAAACAAATGCTAGCCTGCTAGGCAGTTCCCTAAATTTAAATTTGGATTTTCCTCAAGCATTAACTAAAGTTTAAAAGTTTTTCAATGAGAAATTTGAATTTTGAGAAAGGATTAGTGTTACTACAGTACATAATTTCCCTTGAAAACTAGTGTAGGGACTTATACATATAACCATTTTCTTTGGTTTATGCTTTACTACACTGGACTAGTGATCTTATTTTTAACCTACATTTAATCCCTACTGATTTTTAGTATATTCTCCCCTCGAGTTAAAATTGACTGTTTGTTCATACAAACTATTCCCTGCTGAATGGCTATATGGACATACTTGCATGGAAGGTTGAAATTTTGTACAGTAACTACATTATCAAGTGATACCTACAATGGCAGAATTACAAAAATAAAATATGAATGGATTATGCTTCATATGCCATGAGTCTGCTTTAATGCCTGTATCCTTTTTAAAAATGTAACAATAAGACACAGTGGAAGGAACTTAGACAGTAAACATGTGAATCCTGCACTCATAGTAATAACATACTGCACAGTATTAAATAAAACGTGTTAAATCTGAAACAATGCAACAGACACCCTAGATTTACCTGCATGTATATAAATGCCACTTCAGTAAGGTGTTTGAACACAAAAATGAGACAATGACATCAGGAAAAAGCCTTTAAAACAGGCCATCAGTCTAACTTGACTTTCCAAGTAAAAGCATCAGCTTTACAAAACAGATACTAATGCAGTTTTATGTAAAGTACCCTTTGACAGACAAGCTGTCAATTAAGCTATCACAGTCTTATCTGACCCACTCCTTAGGCAATCAGGGAGAACAGTCAACAGTAGATCAAGTTTTAATTAGATAAGTACCTTGTCTGTTTACAGAGAAACATCCTCTAAACACCATAACATGTCTATGGTATTTATATAACTGATCAGATAGTGTAATTTTTGTAAAAAAAAGTTTTTGAATATATGTGAGTTCAAAACCTCATTTTTCCATGTCTTTGCAATAGTGTTTTAGCCAGTGTTATAAAAAGAAGATTAATTTACAATGGACTACCTCACATTATTACTTAATTGTGCAAGGTATTCACGTAGTTCTTTTGCAGCTTGGAATCTACCATATCGCTTCTTTGGGTTGGCACACTCATCCAGCAAGGCCTCAAGTCGGCCATCTTTGGCAATTTCAGGTGGAGGGTCATGAAGTAGTCCTCCAGAAGTGCCACGCCAGGTGGCATGTCTTGATAAAAGGTTCTGACAAATAGCATAGTAATTGTGGTCCACAGTGGCACGAGCACAAAGAATTTCTTTCGAGAAGGACAAGCAAGCTTCTTTATCACAGTCATCAAACTTGCTCTCGTACCATACATCCCAGTTTTCAGGTTTATCTATAAAACAAAGATGGCAAAGTACCATCAGTGAGACAGAAAGAAAACTATACATTTAACACAAAATATGACTAAAAGCTTAGTCTGAAGTGGTAAGTAGAGCAGACACCAATCAATAAAATAAAAAATTAGCAGCTTATCTGCCAAAAACAGTTTCAGTAGACCTAAAATTATTCACAAATATGACCAAATTAAAGAATCAAAATAAAACATTGTTTTAACCCCACTTGAAATTTTTCATTTCAATTTTGGGTATTTTAAACAAAAGCAAAGAGGCACGAGATTCACAAAACAGCATGATGAAAAATGACCTCATGGTGCCTTTTGAACTTTTGCGGTCAGAACATTGATCTGAGGTGTGAGAAATTCATTTTTCAGTCTCCTTCGGCAAATGGGCAGAATAGATTTGAAATTGCTCTCACATTACAGGAGAGTGCCTTGGCTACTGGGCCATGGGATATTCAGCTATGAGCCTCCGTCTCTCTTCTCCTTTAAGGTGTTTTACTTCTGAAATAATTAAAGTGAAAGTCAGTGCTCCAATGATGATTTATAGCAGGGCTACGCAACACGTGGCCTGCACACCTGTTTGTCTGTAGCCGGTGGTGCGGTTTGAGTTTATGTGGGGCTCAACATGCGGCCCGCAGATGGGATCCTTTCCATATGGCCTCCACTGGGAATATGTTCCACAACAGTGAAACCTCTCCCAGGCAGGGTGAGCACTGAAAGATGCAAGCGGATGGGCTGGCTGGAATAGACAGGTACAGAGTGTCAGCATTTCTAGCCCCCAGGGAAGAGGTGCCGAGGAGTGCCGGAGCATTGTGGGAAGTGCTGGCTGCTTAGCCTTGTGGGCAGAGCCTAAGAGTACTGACTGGCTCACACAGGCCACGTTTGGGTCCGGCACCACAGCTTAAGGCTTAATCTTTATCTTCATGCCCAAAAGTGTGAAAGAAGCTATTTGCATATTTATTTGTATGCATATGCAACCACAATTAAGTTGTAGCCCTCGTCATGTGCTGTGAGTATCATTGTGGTCCCCAGGGTTTCCAAAGTTGAGTGGCCCTGATTTATGGACTTGTGGTGAGGGCACCCACTAAGGATGTCAGAAGACTCAGAGTGAACCAATAAAGGATGTCGGAGACCCATTCAAGTCCCTACATGACTTTGTGCCATTATCCCTCAATTTTTTTAGGTTTTTGCTACCTACATTTTTTGTAAGGAAATCTTTAGGAATATCTCAGTGTTTTTACAAGTAAAACTCTATAAATACTAAGTAGAATTTATAAAAGTAACAAGACCTTAAGGATCATTACAAGTGCTAGAAGGCATCAAGCAGTGAACAGCAGGAAATTATAATTACTCTACAGACTCTAGTTTCCCATAAGACAAGACGAAACAAAAAACACACTAATGGCTGCCCCCAAATACTATATTTTAACCACACAGATCCTTTAGAACTTTACTGAAAAGCAAAAATATTGCAGATATAAAAAGGATGCTCAAGTATAGATTTTTATGTTGTGGCTAAGCTTTGGCTTCATCCCTGACAAATCATTTATACCTGAAGAAAAAAAGGGACCCGAATTTTCCTCTCTAGATAGGTGTTCATTTTTCCTGTTTAAGGCTAACTTTTTTTTTTTTTTTTTTTTAAAGAGAATCCAGAGAAGTAATCGAGAGTTTATATGTAGGTGAATCATGTGATAAAAAGAGTACACAAATAGGTGAAATCAAACCTCCAGACTTTGCTCAGGTATACATACCAGAACTCCTGAGAGGTGTAGCAACAGTATCCTGGCAACCTTCATTCTCTAGAGACTTCTGTCTAACAGAAAGTTTGCCTCTGACAAAAATAATTACCTTGATTACAAATGGGAAATAGTTGCCTTGAGCAATTCAGGATTCAGAAAGATATAGCAGATCCCTTGCAGTTTCCTGGAATAACTTCTATAGAACCAAGCTTCTCCCTGGAAGCTACAGACTATTGCTTCATTTGGAACAAATCCCCCTACTAGGGGCAATCAACTTAGTGGACCCCTTCTGCAGCCCTTATGAACCTGTATTGCTTGCTGTACAAGGAAAACAAACCAGTGTTACTGGAGAGCAGTCTTCGGGTTAATAATTAGTTTACAGTTATGAAAAGCAGACACAAAATACAATTTAGCTAAATTAAATTACCTCAAATTTCAGAGATTAACAGAAAAATAAGGTATCTGTTTGTAAGCCTTCCCCATCCAATTACTAAGATTGTTGGTGGGGGGAAGACTTACAATTATCTAAACAAATAGATTATGGACCCTATATATGTATTCTTTATGAAAGTAACCCAAAAGAATCACTGAGCTTCACTTAAAATATAGATATTTATTATCTAAAAAATAATTGTCCCAATTTTCCAAAGAGGAAAACTAGAAACCTTATTAACAAAGTGAGACATTCAATTTACAATGCCGTTTTAAAAATAATTGCCAGGGTTTGTGGGAGAGAAACTGTGTGCACTTCTGAGTTTGTGGAGTTATAATACTGAAATAATTGGATATCTAACATATTTAAAGAATTTATTGGAAACCACTGCTGGGATTTGATCTAAACAGTTATGAGAAATATTAACTAGTGAAAACACAATCTAGAAATTAATTCAGCAATTACCTATTTGCAAATTTGAAAAATCCACACATTATAGGGCAAGCAAGTCTTTTGGACTACTGCCATGAACTCCTCCAGAATTAAAGTTTTTATTTTAAAGGTTTCCAGTCCTTAGACTTGTAAAATTAATGTAGTCAATTGTGAAGAAAGTATAAACCATTATAATTGTGTCTCTTCTGCTACTTACAAAAAATGAACAAATTTTTCTGTTGCTATTCAGAACTCTGTACTGTTAATGAAAAGATTCTGGTCCATTTTATTTTGCTGCTGTTTGGTTAAGTTCTGAGGTCAGCAGAGGTAAACACGGAGCCCAATTATGGGAAATGAGGGCCCAAAGTCAAAGTGTGAAACAGCAGAATGACAGAAACCTTGTGTCTCATAACAGCCAGGCATTCATGGAAGGGTAGAATAGCAGTGACTTCTATCCTCACAGCAGCTTGGAGACTCAGGAACGAATAAGCCAGAGAAACCAAGAAATGGAAACAGAATGCTCTTTCTCCATATGAGTTACTGGAGTTATTGGCGGGCAAAGATATCAAATTAGATAGCCATTAGCCAGAGACTGTTATGAAAGATAGAACCCTTGAAAGAAGAATGAGGGAAAACTGGAATTCCACCACTATCCTTTCACTCAGCAGTGAGGGAAGGCAACAATTTGCTTTACCCTGAGTGTCACTAAGAACAAAGCAGAAACAACCCTGACCCAGACATTTTACATAATATGTAACAGATGTGAAAGAGTACCCATGTACACTATTAACAAATGAGCCTGGGCTCATCCGTTAATGTTCAAGGTTACATGTGGGCTCCTGATACACATGGGCTCCCGGGGAGGCAGCAGCGCAAGGTGGCAGGCAGGGGCTGGTACTAATGTGTAACCGTGTAATTGCTGAACATTTTGGCAGTTACATGATTAAACACATTTTAACATCTACAATAGATAAATAAAATGGGAGAATCTTTGTTGACTCAAGTAAATAAATACAACACAGAATGAGAAAGCATATGACTTAAGGAGACAGAAAGAAAGACAGAAAAGGAAAAAGAAAAAGGAAAAAAGCCATTATAGGAAAAAGGTGGATGAAGCCACTTTGAGCCAAATTAAACAAAAAAAAAACAAAAACAAAAACAAAAAAAAAAAAGGCTGTAACAAGTACTTTTCAACATGATTAGCAGGCATCAAGTAATCTCCTTCCCGCTCTCCCACCCTGGGAGCTTTCTGTATTTCTATAAAAGAAATACAGGCAACAGGTGATTCTCACATATGCCAATGCACTGATTTCTACAAGTATGTGCTGTGCCCAAGAAAGCTCATGATACCATCTACATGTTTTGTTAGTTTTTAAAGTGCTACCAGACTATTTATTGTTTAAGTTTTTCCTGTACAGACTAACTCGGCTACCTCTCTGAAGCTTTTGAAAATTTTGTAGTTTTGTTACAGATCAATTATTACACTATTTGTAGAATTAGAAGTCCCTGTTTCAGAAACTCACAACACTTTATATTCTTTTAAGACAAATTATAAAATGTGAAGCATGATGGACAGGAGAGGAAAACAACTTACTCTGTTTGATTAACCTTTTGTCTGCCACCAGAACATTTTCTGCATCTACAATGATAACCTTCCCATCTCTAGGGCCAACTGCGAAGTTGTCAAAGCTGACATCAAGGAGGTAGAGTGCAAATTCAAAGTCATTGTTTGTCAGTTGTTCTGCTATTTCCATTAACTGCCACGCCAGGTCAACTCGTTTTTCCCACGGTGCATTGAAGTAACTCCACAATTCTTCTCCAACATAGTTGACAGCCACCATTCTTCCACATGCTCCCAGGTACTTTGCAAATGGCCAGCCTTCATCAGATGGGAAACTCTGCATATGGACAGATTTTTTTTTGTTAATACTGAATAAACAAAGGGGAAGCAGCATATTTTAACAGGATGAAATGTGTGAAATACTAAAGACTTTTGAGACTAACATTTAAATCAGATGATTAGGCTGACCAGAATACATTTTTACATTTTGATATAATCAAAAATACAGAGATGAAGAGAAAGCAAGAGAGATTTTCTATACTAGCATCTAGTTTCTGTACGTATATTTTCCAGTTTCGTAGCAGATTATCTTTTGCCTTTGGTTTTTCATATACTCCTGCTGTGATAACATTTTTTCAACATTACTTTACTTTTTAAGCTAGGTCTTTAAATAATGGTTAATGTATATACAACACAAAGCAAGTATTTCATAAAGTTTCTTTTATTTATTAGACTATTTCTCTTCCCCATTCCCTTTTGCTTCTTCCAGATCTGTCTTGGGTGAAGACCTTACAGAAGAAATTAACCACATTTTGGTGTATAACAAAATTTAGCATGTTTTGTTCTATATCTTTCCTTAATCCACCATTTCTTAATTTTTTAAATGTATGTAGATTTGTAAAATGCAAGTAGTAGTATGGGCAGTATTGTGTAGTACAGACTCTCAAGAGAGTCTAAACAGTTAGGACATACTGAAAAACAACCAAAAAAGTCATTCGATAATTTGTGCAAGTTTGGGTATATTTGATGCAAATATATACAAATATCTACAAACATGCAAGACCAAGATGAGCTGCTTTTTTGTAAAAGTAAAGAATGCAAAGCATCAAGGAAATTCCGAATGAACACTAAGATCAGAAACTGAATTATAAACCACAGCACTTAATGAGGATAAGCACATTCCTGGTAAATTTTAATAGTTCTAAAATAATAGTAGCAAATACCTCTATCACTGCTACCATAACTATGTCACCATACAGTGATGAAAACAGTTTCACTGAAAGAAACTACTATACAGCGGCATCAGCTAAGGTTGCAGTTACTGGTTTCAGTTTAACATGGATTTAAACCACTCTTTTGTTAAAGTCTCTGAAATCCAGCAAAGTCCAGCCATCACCACTCAGTTCAGGACAGGAGGTGGTCTATCAGTCAAAGTCTGCAGGAGTTTAAGGCTCCGTCCACACTTTCATTTAAAGTGAAAGTGTACCAATGGCAGGAGTTCTCCTAGCGCTCTATGTAAACCACCTCCACAAGGGAAGTAGCTAACAATGCCGAAAGAGCGGCTCTCAACGCTGGAAGCTTGCTTACACTAGCACTTTATAGTACTGTAACTTGCTGTGCTCGGAGGAGGGGAGATGTTTTTCACATCCCGAGCCAGAAAGTTGCAGCGCAGTAAGTGGTGGTGTGGTGGTGTAGACTTTGCCAAAGCAGAGAACCCACTTTTCAGAGTGACACAACAGTCTGTTTAGTCTATATCTAACCACTATACACTACATTCTTTAGAGCCAGAGACAGTAAATCAGAAATCCTAGACTTTTTTTTTTTTAAATATGCACTGCAAAGGTCTTCCATTAGGAAAGTGTATGTCAAGTTCTTCTTCTTTAGCAGCTGGCCTACAAAGGAGCTTGCAATTACTTTCGTTACTCAAAAAGCAAAGATCTGAGATATAGATTTGAAGGCAAAAGGGATGGAAATCTATTATTAATCCATTACACGTAATTCATATATAGAACACCTCAAAATACTTTAACTTAACCATGGTAAAAATCACCAAAACACATATTTCACGTCAGATTTCAGTTACAAATTTTGTTTGTGAAGCCCACTGATCAGAGTATGTGTTATACAGTTTCTTATATCCAATCCACATAGGATGTGAGTCATAGCTCTCACCTCAAGAGCCTGGCTCTTTAAGATAAGCTGAGTGATGCCTTCAGCTCTGGAGGTCCCTGGCTGTCCTTGGCTTGGTGTGTGTGGCAGTGGTCATGCTCACAGATATCCCACACTGTCATATTTGAAAGCTGGGATATGCTTTATACTGGCTGTGATAGAGTACCCAAAGGAAGGGGACACAATAGGCACTATTGCTGGTGTACTGCAGGCATGAAGTCAGCGGCTGAAGTTTATCCTGGTAATATCCAGAGGTCCATGGGAAGCTACTGAGGTCCACAGGAAGCTAAAGAGTATTTCAGGAAGCAAGTGACAACAGACTTCTTTAGATGTTCTCTCCATCTAAAAGCTTTATGTCATCACTAGTGAACATGAATGAAGAGTTATTCTAAGCCTACTTACTTTCGATAACTTTAAAATGGGGATAAACTTGCACTACAGAGATCATAGAGGTGCAAGTAAACCAATGGCAGACAGCTCTCCCATCAACTTAGGCAATGCCTACACTGCCACTTATGTCGGGAAAAATTTATGTCTCTTAGGAGTGTAAAGAATCCACTTCTAAGTAATGTATGTTACACGAACCTAAGCACCAGAGGGGACGGGGCAGGAGAGCTCCCTCCCCCCCTTGACACAGCACTGTCTACACCAGTACTTAGGTCGGTGCACTTTATGTTGTTCAGGGAGTGGTTTAGTCACACCCAATAGCGACGTAACTTACACAGACAAGCTATAGTATGCACCTAGCCTTTCTGAAGCACACCACAACCTTTCATGCCCTTAAAAGACAGACACAATCAGAAGCAACTTCAGCAACACAGTTTCTGGCTGCAATTCCCAAGAGGGGGAGAGGGGCGGAGGAGGAGGAGAACAAGTTTGCTTATCTATGGAATATGAAAAAAAAAAAAACATAAAAAAAACCTAGGAAATTATCAATAAAGATGAGATTTAATGGCAGAATTGCACCAGGACACATCCCATTCACCCGTTTTAGAAATGTGCATCTGTCTGTCTGTCTTTCCACTTGTTTAAGAACACCTCTTAAGTGGTAAGAGCTAGCACCACCAAATTTGGTATGTAGTTTCCTCTTACAACTTAAAGCAAGGTCAGGGGTTAGTTGTGCCAGGACAATGGGATGTGCCTAGAATTCAACTGTTTCTCAAAATGGAAGGAAGGGGGACTGGTACAGTTATTGGCCCAATGGGGTAGAAAGGGGCAGGGGTGAAGAAAAGGACAGCTATGTACTATATTTCAGAGAGTCTATTTGTGTATCTGTCAGTCCCCCAGCCGTGCTGACTGTAATGGCCATGGACAGTCCCCTCTCACCTGATCCTAAGCTACTGTGGTGACAGAAGGCTGTGATTGTCCTCTCTTCCTGGGGCAGCCTGCATACCGAATGCCTCAGCCCCAGCCTCACCCCAGGACAATAATTTAAATGAAGAAAAACAAAACTCTGAGAAAAACCAGGTAAGTCTTCTAGTATGGAATATGAGAGACATGGCAGTATTACAGCATGAGGTTGCAGAGTCAAGTGCATATTTTGAGTGCAAGTTTGGTGCAGTGAGGGTATATACTGGCTTTTGGTATCAAAAAAGGGAAGTGAAAGCCCTATGGAGTATAGAAGTGTGTTACTAACTGCTCTATAGTCATTACACAGGTGGAAAGGAATGCATGACTTCAATTATGTCCATGTTTTTAGGGTACTGAGTGGATGAGGTATATAAAATCCCATTTAACCAGTGAGGCTACATCTAGACTGCAACCTCTTTGGAAGAGGCTTTTTCGAAAGATATTATTGAAAAAGAGCATCTAGACTACAACCAGTACTTTTAAAAAAGCAAGCCGCTTTTTCAAAAGAGAGCACCCAGGCAGTCTGGATACTCTCTTTCGAAAAAGCACAGTTTGCATTACATAGCGCCTTTTTTCAAAAGAGCACTTTCGAAAAAAGACGTTATTCCTCATAAAATGAGGTTTTCCGCGGTTGAAAAAACTACTGCATTCTTTTGATTTACTTTCAAAAGAACGCGGCAGCAGTCTAGATGCAGGGGAAGTTTTTTGGAAAAAACCCTGTAGTCTAGACACACCCTTAGAGGTCTAGACACACCCCTGCTCACATGTGAATACTTATTGTTTAACAACCCTAGAGTGGATGGGCTGTGTCCTGATTAGGAATGTTAATCGGTAACCAGTTCACCGGTTACCCTGTACCCAGGGAGCAGTGGGCTGGAGCTGGCAGCCCTGCTCAAAAGCGGGGCCAGAAGCAGCATCGGCTCGCAGAAATGGCAGCAGCTCTGCTGGCCCCTCGTGGGGCAGGAAGTATCTGAGCTGGAGCAGCCCCTGCCTGTGATGGGAGGAGAGGGTAGGAAGTAGAGTCCCTCCCCCCCCCCACCCACTTGCCCCCATTTAATCAGTTAATTAATTAAATGGGATTTTACATCCGTAGTCCTAATGAAACCATAACCGACACGAATCTTGACTCCATTAAGAACTGAGTGCCATATTATTATTAATATACTCAATGTCCTGAAGCCCTAGTCATGGACCACTTAAACATTAGGAATTCAACCTTTTTTTTTTTTAATTAAATAAAAAATACAATAGATCCTCCCCAAAAGATCCTGACTGGACTAATTTTGAGTAAAAAATGGATTTTCTATGAATTTGCAAGTAAATCCACTAGTTTAAAATAAAATTAAAGCCCGGGCCCTTTAAGTTATTTAGAATTTTGTTTTGTTCAGGACAAAAACAGAGATTCTGCCAACGTTCCACATAGTTTGAAGTCACTTGCACATTGACTATATTTGACAAAATTAAGTTATATTGTATGCAATAGCTAATAAATAGGTTACAGAATGGATTAAGTAACTCTTTAGTTGTACCATTTGAGACTAACAACTAGCCACTATTCTGCCTTCTTTATTTAGTTCATGCAGAACACTAGTTTAAAAAAAATCCTTAAGGAAATTCCCCAAAATCTATGTTGAAATGGAATAAAGCTTGAGAAAACAATGAGAAGTCCTGTGGCACCTTATAAACTAACAGATAAGTTTATAAGCACCTTATAAACTAACAGCATAAGCTTTCGTGGGCATGAGGAGTAAGGGATATTTTGGAATAGTGGGTTATTTTGAAATTTGGCGCTGTGCAGACAGCACCAAATTATGAAAT